ATCGACATCACGTGTACCACATGTGATACTTCCGTCCAAGTTAACTGACGAAGTTGACGGCAAAACATAAATTGTTAAAAAGTGGTAAGTTTGAGGACATATTTCGTGGATGAAAAAGTTTGACGACATAAATTTTTAAATGTAAAGTTTATGGACATAAATTCTAATTTTCCCCAACTATTATCAATACGAATGATTACAATTTAAAACACAAATTTTTACATTCGGGCACGTGTACCGGACCGGATTATCCTAAAGGAGTTTCGAGTTTCAGGTACATATACCCAAGTATTAAGAAAGAAAGATAGGGGGGGGGCGTAAATGAGCTGAGCCTAAACTATTTACGATTTTGAATTATCTTCCTGTTCGTGGTGCTCATCATCCTTGTCCAATGGCAACTACGGCTTTCCACATCCTTCACACAAAGAAAAACCGAAAATCATATCTACTTTGGTTTCTTCCCAGAAAATGAAGAAAGAAACTGAAAACATACAAGAGAACATTAAAACCTAAACTATTTAGCTTCGTTATGTTTTTCGACAATGCGTTTAGTTGTCATAAACAAACACATCCTTCTGATCGGCTGTCAGAGACGTCACAAAATGCGTTAAAGTTCGGGGGCAAAAGACCAAGAGAGTTCACTTTATTTTTCTTATCATGGGTAAATTACATCTACACCTCTGAGGTATGCTAAAATAAACTTTAAGGTTCTTGTAGCATCGGTTTACGCAATCACCCCTGAAACATTGTTAGAAACTCTAAAGTAATAATGCATTAACAATCTATTAGTTTCAGGCAGTGGTGGAGACAACATACAACTAGGGTGTGAAATGGTTCTCATAACATTTCTTAAATCCTTATTATTTTATATAAAATTTATAAATTTTCGTCTATGGCAGCATTAACGGCCCCGCGGAAAATAAAATTAGTGCATATCAGTCCCTAGGACATGAAATCTTTGGCTCCGGCAAATGTTTCAGGGGTTTAACTGTAAGTCCTTAAAATTATTTTAGCATATCCCAAGAGTTTAGGTGTAATTTACCCTTTTATTATTCTTCTTTGTCGTTTAATTCTATTTTCCCGAAGGGGATGAAAACAGTGGCTCAAATGATCTTAATTACTTTAGTTTTGAATCGTTTTCCAAATTAAAAAGATTTACATACATTGAATAGATATGTCTGAAACTTCATGAATTCGTGATCTTTCATCATTTATAGTTGAAATTTCACGATTTGCGGAATCGAGCAGTTAGGGTCTCGACTAAAACAATTAAACTGGAGTCTGGACTCAATTTATATTACATATAATAACATGAACTTTTGAACAAACTCTAAACTTGTAATATTTAAGTGATTTGTATAAATTATGATATCTATGAATTATGTGTACTTGTTTGGTTAAAGGATTTAGTGATTTTGATTATGTGATTAAGTGATTTATGTGACTCAATTACTCTACTCGTACGAATTATGTGAATTAGAATTTATTATGCAATTTAATAGTTTAATTAATACATCTATGATTAGTAATTAGTTAATCTCATGTGTTTATGTGAATGTGTATGTATATGATATGATATATTATATCTGCTAGGATTTATTTATTTGTGTGTATATATATGTATGAATGTTTTATGTGCATATTGATTTCATGTATATGTATGTGACATACATGTCATAGGACCTCTCCCTCTCTCTCTCCGTAAAAACATAGGAAAATTCCACACAATTCTTCTTTCTATTATTTTAATATTATTAATGTATAGATGTATATATGTATAGATTTTATGTGTGCATGTGCTTTGTGTTTTGTGAAAATGCGGTGTGTATAAATTGGGTGTGTTGGGTCTGTGGTGTGTTTCCAAGTGTCCTAGTCATCCTAATTGCTATCTACACCCCCTCATTTTCTAAATTGCAAGTAAGTCCCTGTACTCTCCTATAAATAGATTTTTTTTCTTCAGATTTTCAGCAGACAAACTCAGCCCTTCTCTCCTATTTTCTCGTCTAAATACAACCCCAAAAAGGAAGAATTCATCTTCCACTTCAAAGCCTTCATTATCTATACTCCTTATAAAAGTGTGAATCTTATGGGAGGTTTCTTCCATTTTTTGCATGGACAATAATATCCTTTGGATAGGTACATTTGAAGGTTAATTAGGTAATATTTATTAGAGTTAACTGCAAAAAATCCCCTAAACTTTGGACGTTTTTGCGCTTTACCCCCTGAACGGAAAAAAATTGCACCGACATACCTGAACTCTATTTTTCTGAGCAGCGACTTCCAAAATATCCATTTTTGGCAAAAATTGACCGGAATTTAAATCACGTGCCTTACACGTGAATATAATTGGGGTAGATTGGTCTTTTCCTTTTACACCCCTTTTCTTCTTCTTTTTTTCTAATAAATATAAATAAATGAAAAAGGAAAACTGAAATAAATAAGAAAAGAAAAAAAACAAAAATTGCAGATTCATCTTCTTCCTCTTCTTCGTCCACCACCAGGTCCACCACATATCAGACACACCACCAAACACAAACCAGGCAACCATAACCTCTCACAAATCAAACACCAACCACCATTTTGATCAGCAAGACCTTGCTCCAGTCGCAATTAAGGAGAGCGTCGATGATTGAGTTAATGTATTCGACGGGCTTATCGATTTCGTTCGATATTCTAACCAATTCGACGCACTTTGGGAGGAGAATCAAGAGATGGGCATCTTCCAAATCGTTGATTTGGGGGAGGTACGATGTTATTATTATTATTATTATTATTATTATTATTATTATTATTATTATTATTATTATTATTATTATTATTATTATTATTATTATTATTATTATTATTATTATTATTATTATTATTATTATTATTATTATTATTATTATTATTATTATTATTATTATTATTATTATTATTATTATTATTATTATTATTATTATTATTATTATTATTATTATTATTATTATTATTATTATTATTATTATTATTATTATTATTATTATTATTATTATTATTATTATTATTATTATTATTATTATTATTATTATTATTATTATTATTATTATTATTATTATTATTATTATTATTATTATTAAGTTATCGTCATTTTTTATGAGATGTGCTATTTCCACCCTCCAAATATCCTATTTCACCACCAAATTAAATATATTTTCCATTTGACCCTTTCTTCTTCTTTCACCTATATTTTTTTACAAATTTATAAACCGTCCACCGCGAAAATAATTAAAAAATTTATAAAAATAAACCCCCACCATTTTCAGTGGAATCTTTACCGCGAAATCGCACCGTCTACACCTTAAGTGAATAATATATTCGTCAGAGAAAACCATTTCTGAAGGTCAAAAAGAGCAGGAATATCCACGTTCTTGAAAAATAAATTAAGAGTGTTTGTATGGGAGGTACTAAACTTCCTCCAGAGTTGGCCAGTTTTGCTTAATATAATTTCGTTTCCTAAAAAAAACATATATAATTTGTCGGTTATCTGATATGGAAGTTTAAAGATCTTGTAATAAATATTTATTGCAAAAAAAGAAGGGTCTATTAGATATAACCCCCTTAGTCTTACAAATAATAGGGGTGGACCCAAACTCAAATTTGTCATTTTGATAAAAACCCATATTTTTCTAAATTACATCAGTGCCCTCAATCAAATCCCACAAATCCCGTTACTTTACCTTTTGAAATAATATCAAATCCCTCCCTATTTTCCCGTTAAAACACTATCCCCACAAACCCACTACCAAAATCTGCAAACGCCCAAAGAAAACCAGAAATTTATACACCGGCGATTGACAATTTTCTGCACTCCGAAATCCGTCCCTATTTTCCCGCCGGGTTCGTCGCTTCCCTCCGACCGCCGCCACCTCCGTCACTGTTGTCGCCGATGGCCAACGACGATAACAACGATATTGGCCATAAGCAACACCTCCACTACCGCCTAGTCCTCCACCACCACCACATCCGACCACCTCCACCTCCAAGACCGCCAAAAACGACCAAGACCTCCGCCGCTCCCGCCTCCAAGGTCGTAACAATCAATTTAGGAGTGATATCGTCGTTGGCCGCCGTCGCCGCCGCCGTCACTGCTCCAAACTAGGGTTACTCAAATCTAAGATTACTCAAATCTAGGGTTTTGATAATTCTTCGGCCCATAGTTGATTAACGAGATGCATAGTCGAATTACATCTGTATTAATAGACTATCTCATATCATTTAATAGACTATCCCACTGATATAATTTGACTATGGATCTCGTTAATCGACTATGAGCCGAAGAATCATCAAAACCCTAGATTTGAGAAGTGACGGCGGCGGATTTGTGTTTTAAAATTAATAGACTATCTCATATCATTTAATAGACTATCTATATATCTAATTCGACTATGGGTTTAGTTATTTGACTATTGGGCCGAAGAATCAACAAAATCCTAGATCTGATAAGTGATGGCGGCGGATTTGTGTTTTAATATTGTTAGACTATCCCATATCATGTAATAGACTATCTCATTGATCTAATTCGACTATGGATCTCGTTAATCGACTAGTGATCCCGTATTATTCAACCACATAGTATATTAATAATTTCATATAGTACATTAATCTGCTATGATAGTATATTACGGTTATAGTAGTGATATGAAATTGTGTTACAAACAATATACCACTGAAATGACAAGAACATTGAGAACAAAACCAACGTAAAGTAATTCCAACATAACCAATAAAATAGTACATTAATAATCTCATAATTTCAATCTAGGGTTTTGATAAAATACTTAAAACACATCATAACACAATCAAACCAATTTGTCGAGTTAAAAAACTCTAGTACATTAATAATCTCATATTAGTATAATAAAATGATAATGATAGTATCATACGGTATTCATAATAGTATACTACAGTATTACAACGGTTTAACACTTAACCGAAGTTACTGAGCCATTACATCGTAAACACGACATTAATTAAACATATCAAATCTTAGGGTGGTTTGGAAAATAACAACCATCGGAATTATTTGAATTCATTGAGTTTATGTCCTCGTCGCTATCATCAGGAATGCAGTCGACTTCTTCTTCGAACAACTGCACAAAGTCTGCATTCAATGCCTCACTTCCAGCGGCATCAACGGCTCCAACTAGTTCACCCCCACCCCCTGTTCCATCATCATCATAAATAACAATTTCAGCATGATATGAACTTAAAAAATGCAGAATACAAATAATTGATTAAATAGACTACCAAATACATTCCAATGTACTACCGAATACATTAAAATCGACTGCTGTAAACAAACAAAACAACTATCAGTCAGTTTCAACTTCATCAACTCGACCACACCAAATATTTATTTCGATTACTGCGTAAACCAACTACGACACTCATATAAAACAACTTTGGTCCGACTGCGTGAACCATCATCTGGCAACTATGTGAATCCTCTTCCAAACAAACATCATCAGACAAAATAAGGATGAATATGTGACGACGTAATTTTTTTAAGAAACGATCTACTTTACTACCAATATAATCAACGTATCAACACAAATCTTAAAATGTCTACCCACCATAACACAACAACCCCGCACAAATACAGCGAAAATAAAAACGAAAAAAAAAAGTTCATACCCGCTTAACGACGGACAACGATGAACGCTCAGATCCGAACTTACCTCCACGCCGGTGAAAACTTCTTCAAAGCCGATGGAAACGATGAATCGATGGAAAAATTCTTCAAAACCGATTGTACACGTTGTGATAATAACGAAACCGCCAATATACTCACGTAATTTTATTCCGTGATTTTAGGCAACGTATCAGCAATCTCATATCACGTAGTTAAGGAAATAAATGCCGTTCAAAAATAAAGCAGGGGTCTTAAAGGGAAATTAAATAATATATTGTGCCAAGTTGACATATTTGGGTATATATCAAAAAGGGAAAAATTAATTGGATCTACCTCATTAGAAAATATGAACAAGGGGGTTATCCCTAATAAATCCAAAAAAGAAAAAGTAAAAAAATAAAAAATAAAAAAAAAATAGAAATAACTTTAACCACATGAGGATTAAGTGAATATAAGGAAGAATTGTGGATTATAAACTAGAGGGGTACTTATGACATTTTATATATCTTTAGTGGTGCATTGAGATACTTTGAAGGTAGAAATAGAGCCACTTTTTTTTTTTCTTCAATAAATTCAGTGGAACATTACACTGATGTTAAATTTAGAGTAACAAATATGAAGATATTTTTTTTTAACTGTGCTACATACATCAAGATCAAGCAAAATTATATGATCGTAAATCTACATTTACATAAATTGATTGTTAATTGTATAAAGCATGGAATAAGTTTTATTCCATGCTAACTTGAAGAAGTAAATTATTGATACGCATATAAATAATGGGGAAATATGCGATTCCCTCAAATGAAAAATATTATGAGTAAAACTCATTTGATTTTCAAGACTTTTATCCACATTTATGTTTCAATCTTAATTAGTGAGACTCCCTTTTCAAGATGAGATAATACATAATTATCCTTAATAGTAGTTTTTAAAATAAATCAAATATATATTTATAATATTTTCCATAACCGTTTCCTTGTTTGTAGTTGTACATGATTTTCCCTGCGTTGAATCCGTAGGCGTGATTTTAGTAGATATACGCAAGTATTTTTTGGGCAAGATCTAGGTTCCTAGTCGTCGTCAACAATTGCGTGGTGTTGAAGAAAAGTTGCGTGGAAAAGGTCAACAATTGTTTGGAATTTTTTTTTTAATTCAGTCTATGGATAATAATGTTTGGTTCGCAATTTACTAGGGTTTGTTTTGTTCTGAATAAAATGTTATGGGTTTGTGTCGTCCGAGTAGTATCTGATTTCATTTTATCTCGATTTACAAAGTAGTCATATTCTCACTGTTCTGTTAATAATCATGCTTCTACTATTTGTTAATGCTCACTATTCTGTTAATAATCATTGTTAATAATCATGCTTCTGCTGTTTGTTAATTCTCTCTGTCATGTCAATTATACTGTTATGCAAAGCATAGTCACATAATAGTCATATTCTCACATTCTACAGAACATAGTCACATAATAGTCGTATTCTCACTGTTCTATTAATAATCATGTTTCTATTACTTTTCATTGTCAATTATACTGTTATATAAATCATAGTCACATAATAGTCATATTCTCACAGTTATGTTTATAATCATGCTTTAGTGTGGGGAAAGCTAGTTGGCAGAATACAGTCATATTTATACATTGTAAATCATAATTTTTGTCAATAATAATAAAATGTCAATACTAATAGCATAAGAATTAATAAACATTCAAGTATGTTTTTTAATGCACAAAAAAACAAACCAACAAAAAACTCGTTTTCGTTTTGATGATGCTTTCTTCTTCATGTTCAAGATATAGATTTGAATGCGACTACTTCAACTCAAATCCTAACAGTATATGACTAGTAATTGGCGAGGGATGGATGATGTTGTACCAAATCGGGATTTATGTGCCCATATTATTAGGATTTTCGAAAATCATGGTTAATTGTTACAAAGCTTGATAATTGTTGCAAGGGTAATAGTCGGAATAAAATCTATATAGAGTTATCATAAAGGAAGAATTATGATATGGACATAACGCCATTTCTCTATAGGAGGGCCTTATTGATAATGACCCCATAAATAATTAATAAAAATCATGAACTACGTGCAACGCACGTGTCACTTACCAATTTGTTAAAAAATACTAAACAAATATTAGGCTGTAATGTTAATTTGATGAAGTAAATTATTTATACACATATAAATAAGGGTAAATTACAACCACCCCTGAGGTATGTTTAAATTATGAAAAAACCCTCTTGTTTGTATACTTACAACAACCCCCATCAACTATGAATCTTCTTACACTTCCACCATTATGGTGTCAAATTCTACATAATCTTCAAATTCCGTGGAATGTTCTCTAGTTTGTATTCGTTTTTGTGCAAAAAATACAGTTTCTGATGCATCATAATCTGATATATACAAAGCCAAAAGGCGTATCCTATGATCATCTTGCTTCAAAATGTGGAGCTCGAATGAGATAAAACGGGTACAAACTTGAGAATATTCCATATAATGTAGAAAGTTTCACTAAACTTGACACCGCAAGGGTGGACGTGTAAAAGATTCATAATTGAGGGGTAGTTGTAATTACTCAAACATGAGGGAATTTTTGTAATTTTACCATACCTTAGGGGTGGTCGTAATTTACCCTAATCATGAACTACGTTCAACGCACGTGTCACTTACAAGTTTATTACAAATATCAAGAAATTATTGAAATATTTCAAACAAGAGAGATTTCTTGTAATTAAATTAAGTTTTTGGAGATGCTAACCATAATTTATCTTATTTTTTTTTACCATTATTTGGTTGTTTGGTGTGGAACTTTACATATTGTATTTGTTTGTGGCGGTGACTTGAAAACCATAGCTGGAATAGGTAGTTGTTAAGTAACAAGTTGTACATTTTTTAATTTCCATCCATGTGAGTGCATGTTATCCAAGATGAGACAACTATATCGAATTATATATTTGTGATCTTGACCAAATAATTGTTATTTTATATTTGGGGACGTTGGGATAATTACACTTTTATCCCCTATATTACACACCTTTTTCAATTTAGATCCTTAATTTTTTCTGCCATGAAATTTGTCCTCAAATAACCGGTAATTTTACACTTTCAGTCTGTTGTTAGTGATTGAACACTTTTTACTTCTAGTTACAGGTAATATGTGGAAGAAATTAAGGATTTAGAAAGGGGGCATATGGATTTCAAGAGAGAATTAGGGCAGATTGTGTTTACATGTAATGTGCCATCTCAACGTTATGAGGGGGAGAGGTGCTTTTGTATGTCATGTGCGGTGCACGTGCGATTTTCCGTCCATACTAATTGGACAAATAAACGGATGGACAGAAACAACATAAAAATGACATGTTTAGGGACAAAAATTGTAACTTCATCTTGTTTAGGGACGAAAATCGTGTAAGTGGCAATGTATCGGGACGAAAAGTGTAATTACCCCTACAGGATTAAGTGATACATTGTAGGTCCCGACTGCTTGAAAAATCTGCTGATTGTTTCATCTTGTTTGCTCAAAATTCTCTCGGGTAATGTTTCAGAACAAAGTGAGCTGAGTAACGACTTTTGTTTCTCTGGTACGAACGGAATTATCTTTTTGCCAAAATAATTTGAAGTCGGAGCATTTATTTCTTCTCGATTTTGAATTTTGACACAGATCTCAAATCAGCTTGTGGTTATTGAAAGGACAAATTGCATTCACACCCGAAACAATTTCAACTTTTGCACTAAACCCCCTTTAGAGTCTAAACATTAAAAATGGGCCATTTGAAATACATTCCAAACTATGATGCATGGAAACTTCTATACGCACCCATTTCCACGTTTGGGAAATGTTTTGAAAACCGAAACGCCGTGACACTTGTCGGAAACGTTTGGGGGCCGTTTTGGTAATATTTAGAAGTTTCGAGATGTTTTTGATAATAATGAAAAAATGGAAATGCGTTTCCGCCAAAAAAAAATAAAAATCATAAGCCTGTTTTAAATAAATACAAGTAATTGACTACACTTAAGAAGATCTTAAATCTTATGTATCATTTTCGTTGCTAGTGGTGTTTTAATATTTTTTTTGTAGATGCTAATTTCATATTAAAATAAATTTATATGCCTCGAATGTAATTTGTAGAATGATAATTCGGATTGTAACATGTAAATTATATTTAATTTGTATATATAAATATGTAATTGATAATAAGTATTAAGTTAGACGTCATAATATTTTTTACAAATTACAGATGTACTCCTATATTTTTAATATTTACACGTTGCCCTCACGTTTTCTATCAAACATTTTGAACAATGGGGTTTCACGGTTTCAGTTTCCCCATTTCACCGTGTTCGCTTTCTCGTGCTACATAGATTTCAAACATTATTTAATAGAGCTAAACCCAACTTTATTTCATCCTTATAGATACCCTTCAATTTTATTATTCGAAACTACCCACATAAATTTTCTCCTAACTGCATGCAGAATTTTTAATTATTTTCGGATTTTCTTTTATCATTATTTGCTAATTTTTTGATTTTTTTTTAATTATTTTTCTTTTTAAGTAATTTTTTTTTGTCTGTTTCGTTATTTATTTTCTTCTTTAACTAACATTACATAAAAATATAGTTAAATCTTTCCAATGAACTTTGCTACCTACTAAATACAACTTCTTGAGCGAACTTGGGAATGTGAGCTTCTGCAACAAGTTATGTACACTATACGGCAAGCACGTAAGTGATTCAAGTTTATGCAAGTGGCAAATATTGTAGAGAAAATAGTCTTTTGAGCTTTTCGAGTGACTGTCATACTCTATCTGCAATTTCCTGACGTTGATGACTCTCTTACAAGCCTCCTCGCTCCACACAAAGTTTACTACATTCTTAAGTGTTTGCAGATTTTGCAGAACAAACTTATGTTGTTGTTGGTCACCACTCTGAGGAGGATCGGGAAGGTGTAGCTCATATATATCCACATGCCTAAGTTGTCGCATCTCCCAAATTTCAGATGGTGCTTTAATCTTATTCTTTCTAATGATTATTGTTTGCAAATTCCAGAGAACGTCTATTGACGAAGGAAGCTTGACAACAAGGAATCTTGTGCGCTTGTTATAAGCAAGATACCGCATGTTAACTTGATCAACAATATGCCGGCGTAATTTTTTTCTTGGCTCCACAGTTGAACGACATTACTCTCATCAATCTATTGTTGGAAAATCGGCCATCCATGTGGGTTACCAAAGTTCGAGTAAGTGATGGTAATTGCAAAGTATGAAGGACTTGAGATTGATACTTTGCTTGTAGATTTTTTTCATTACATACAATACGACGCCCCCTTTCCACTCCTCGTTGAATGTCTTCCATCACACAGATAAACTCGTCTTTCTGAGCTACCTTTAAACTTAAGTCTCGCAAAAGATCATGAATCTTGCAAAATTTAATTCTTCCAGTGGATCCCAACTGCTTCAAAATGAGATTCCTGTCAATGAGATCATTTAGGTAACCTCGTGCAATCTCTTCCAAGCTTTGGGATTGGTTCAATTTAATAAATCCTTCAGCTACCCAAAGTTTGATCAGTTGGGAGACACGAATCTCATCGTCTTCTGGAAAAATTCCCATGTAGAGAAAACACGGTTTAAGGTGAGCAGGCAAGTATGTGTAACACAAAGATAATATACTCGAGCAATTCTCGTCCTCTCCGGAGTTCAAAATTGAGATTAAGTCTTTTGAAATATTTTTCCAGTATTTTTGCGTCATATGGGACCTTCCAAGAAGCCCACCAATCACACAAATCGCAAGGGGAAGTCCTTTGCATTTTTTAACAATCTCATTTCCAATATCCTCCAGTTCAAGAGGGCAACCGGCCTCACCAAATGTTTTTTTGCAAAATAGGTCCCAACTTTGATCCTCATCTAGAAAACTCAACTCAAACAACGAGGAGTCAAAATGAGTAGCCACATTCGATATCCTTGTAGTCACAACAATTCGACTTCCATTATTGTTGTCTGGAAAAAAACGACTTACCTCCTCCCAGGCTTCAATACTCCAAATATCATCAATTACAATCAAATACCTCCGACTCCATAGCCTTTTGTACAATTTTTCTCCTAATAACTGCTCATCTATTTGACTATTTTTTCACGAAGAAGTTGTAAGAGAAGTTCTATGACATTATACTTTTGAGATATTGTGACCCAAGTGCGAATATCAAAATGTTGCACAATAAGTGAATGCTCATAAGCATTTTTGGCTAGAGTAGTCTTACCAATGCCGCCCATGCCTACGATTGGAATTATTTGACGGTTAGATCGTTGCCCCGTGAGCTTGTCCAAAAGTCGAGTCAACTGTTCGTCAAATCCGACCATGGTATTCTTGTCGGTGGTAATAAGAGGTGTTGATGAATTAGTTGTAGGCATCGAGTATGTGGGATGCATATCATCTCTGGATCCACTGTCATCTTTAAACGCCATACCCTTTTTCGTGACGGAATCCATGTCTTCTATTACTGTTTGAAGATCGACCGCGGAAATCGAACCACTGTGAATTTGGTCTTCTACTAGATCAGATTCAGTAGTTACAGCTTTCTTGAAGCAACAGAGTAGTCGCATCGAATTCATGATAAACTTTCTTTTGGCATATTTAATTTCATTGCGTGAATTTGGTCAACTACGTGAGATTCGATTAAATCTTCAGCCGCATTGGCTGCAGAAGCAATTTGACTCTCCAAAAATTCTAATTGTTCGCGTATGACACCATGAGTATCATTCTCTACAAAATCTAGCAACAAACCAACTTTTTCGCGGATAGATTCCATCTGGTTCATGTCGAAAGAAATCGAAAGGCGAGGATGTATATTGAGTGTATATTTTACACTCAATGTATACTTTCTTACGAGGATTTTTGTATACTTTTATTGATCTAATGATGCTTAATGAGTGGTTTATTGTATTTTAGGTACAACTTGACGATTTGGGAGTTCCAAGGACGAAACGAGCCAAAAAAGTTCAAAAACGGGCAAAAACGGAAGAAAACAAAAATATGCTGAAAATTGGACGGCGCGGCCGTGCCAAATTTAGCCTATTTTTGGCGCGGCCACGCCAACTGCAGAATGAGGGCAGAAGGTTTCGGCGATTCTCGTGCGGCCGTGTGAGAATTACACTGATTTTCGCACGGCCGCGCCAAAACATGCTGGAGACAATTTTGGACTTTTAATCACACAAGGAAACCTAAATTATTCTACCAAGTTGGGGCATCTATTTAAGGGCAAACCAAGCACGAATCAAAGAACTTTTGAAGACAATCTTAGAGCAAGAGGAGCGAGAGAACGGAGAATCGAAGACGGAGAATTGACAAATCTTCGTCACAATTCTTCTTTCATCTATCTCTTCTTAATCTATTTATTTTTAATATTTTTATGATGTTTTTCGTAGAGAACATGAGTAGCTAAGTTTTTAATCTAGGATTTTGTTGGAACCCTATGTGGGATTGTGAACCCGTTTTCTTGAGATTATGCAATTATGATTTTATGATTATTTCTTCTACTTGTTATGATTGTTAGTGCATGAACCTGATCAATTTATATGCTTTATCTGTGATTACTGGGATTGACTCGACAGTATTTTGATAATTAGACGGTAAGTAGAAGAGCCTTCGAGTAGTTTTCACCGGATGAGTGTGTCGATTGCATGTGGTGTCGTAGACATGCAGATATCACCTTAGATAGCCATTCACGAGACTTGTTAGTTAATGATTTATTCATAATTGGTTTGCATAGACATATAGTGAACCGTTTATGATTAATAGACTCATAATACACGTGACAGCGGGTTATGAGTAAATTAGCGTCTCCGGTTAATAATCATGAATCATATATTTCATAATTGAAGGGTTTTGGGTGAGCAATTCTTGCATAGGGGGAAGATAAAATCCTAGGTCCGTTTTATTGATATTTTCTCGTGTTTAATTGCTTTCATAATTAGTTTAATTATTTAGTTGATTAGATTTGACAACTTTGTGTAGGCTGGATAAAAATCATAATTGTTAGAGTTTGGTACTTAAGAGTTAAGATTAGATAATTTGAGTATTCCCTGTGGGATCGACATCCGACTCTCACGAGTCCACTTTTACTACTTGTTTGCGATACGTGCACTTGCGTGTTAGGTATTTAGCACCCAATAGTGATCCATAGTAGTTGTGAGAGAAACTAGAGCTGCATAAGCTGCCATCTCTTTAAATTTTCGGGTAATGTTTCACAACGAAGTGAACTCCGGTGACTGCCAAATCTCTACCTCACTAACAAATAACAATGACTTTTGTTTCTCTGGTTTCGCATGAGATAAGGGGGTCCCGCATAAGCAAAGTCAGTTCAATTATTATAATTTTGTTTAACCCCACTTTGCACCTTTGAAATATATTATCTTAACACTTGGCACCCTCGAAATAAATTAATAGCATTTTGTACCCTCGAAACACAATATATCATGTATAATGCACCTCACTAAGTTTTTAAAGCAAATAAAGATAATTTAATATTTTTAGTGGTATTTAAAAACTATATGATCACAAAAATATAATTTAAGAAAAAACAAATCCTTCAGCTATTTTGTTATCAAGTTATCTGAAAACCATATTTTCTTCCCGATATTTCTACCTAATATTTCCACCAATTACAACAAAAGATCCATCAATCGAATAATTTAGTCACAAAATTTTATTTGATTTTATTTTGAAAGAAAATATATCTTTTTCCAATTATCCGGTGTCATTTTTATTTTTCGCACTTTGTGCGCTCGAAATTAGGTTGGAAGCTGAAGAGAAATAAAAAAATAATTTGTTATTCTGCACGCCGAAAAAAAAAAAAACCAATAAAAAATGAATTCTCCTTTATTATTCAATTAATGGTGCATTGTGAATGATTTATTGTCTTTTGAGAATGAAAAATGACAAAAGGTTCCATTTCAAGGATGCAAAATGGGATTAAGCCGTTATAATTCAAAAGATTCCTTAACTACGCAAGTCCATATTTAATTGTTTCTAGGGTAAACAACATAAAACTTCATGTGTTAAGGAAAACTTGCGTCAAATCCCATGTGGATTTTTTTTTTTTTCTTTTTTGCGTAGAACCTCCTTTTGTTTCATTTTACTTTGCACGAAATCCTTTTTTTTCGTTAAAAGTTAACGCCGTTAACTATAGAGGGGATTTCTTGCAGATCATGGGCTGAGTAGTGGAAGCTTGGAAAGTCTATAAATACCAAACTCAAGACTCAAGAAATGAAATCGATTCTACGAAATAAAAAACCGAGAGCTGAAAAGAATACATGAGTATTTTAGAGTGGTTTTAGAATCGGTCGTTTGTACTCTTCATGAGTATAATCTTTACGTACTCCTCATGAGTACATTCTTTACGTACTTCTCATAAGTACATTCTTTGTAGTCTAGATTGTTTAGTATATATGTTTCTAGACTTGTTGTAGTTCTGTACGTACTCCTTACGAGTACATTATTTGAAATCTAGAATTTTTAATATTTTTCTTTTAGTATCTAGATTTGATTGTAAGAATGATCATGAGAATGATTCATTTGTAAGGAAGAAGTTTTCGCACCTCTTCCGTTTGTATTCTTGGAATACTGATTTTAATATATTTTTCCGTCCTGTAAAGGGCAAGTTCACAAGTCTTTACTTGTGAACATTTTTAATTATGAGTATTGTTCTTTTATCTTTATATTTCCGCTGCATGTTTGTTCAAGTGTCATAACACTTAAGATAACACCTCTGTATTAAACGAATTCGGGACCATAAATTCTTTCAAAACTGATTCGAGACATGAGAATTGATAGTATCCTCTAATTCACCTTGCCTCTGCTGCTGCTTTTCGAGAACTTCTTGCAACGAACACACCTCCTCGTATAGATGTTCCATGATTTGTCGAGAGGAATGTATAAGAACAATCGAAATACGAGAAGAATTTAAAAGGTGCTGAACTGTCTTTTTAAGAGAAATCACGGCAGCGTAAGCCATCTCTAGCTCTGATCTGAGCGCTCTTTAATTTTTTATTTTTCTTTTTTCTCACACAATGGAATAGCTCTTTGTCACAAGTATTTGTTATTGAAAATCATTGCCTTATTCAATGTATGTATGTGTAAAGAAGAAGTCAAACTATGAATGTGAACGCACGAAAGACGGCAATCAACGAGCAATCTATTAATCTTTCAATAATCATTTTTTAATGAACTCGAACAACTCTCTAGCATGAAGGCGGCCGAAATCATATATTAAGAATAGTTCACAACTGGAGCTGTGGAAATTATTAAAGTGTCGTCTGATGTGTTTGGCTTGATGTGGGCTTGTTGTGTATTATCATTACGTGCTAGTTAAATTGTATTATTTGTCAATAAATGTAAGTATTTTTTTTATATATCTTTTTAATTCAATTTTTATCATAAAAAATAATAAATTTAATTCCTAGCATATGTAAGAATAAAATCGTAAACCGTTAGATTTTATTAAAGCGTAAGATTTGAATGTTGCTATCTAATAAATAACACTTGTGTTGCTGCATTATTCAACAATTATTAGGTGGAGACAAGTCTATAATTTGATATAGTTGTCTCTCTTTTGTCTAATCTTTGATTACGCAAAAGTACTTTGACTAACAAATGCTTGTGACACGACACAACAAAATGTACTTCGCCGTACACGAAATGTACTACGTCGTACACGAAACCCTGGGCTGAATAGAATGAAGCCCTTACACATACATAAACATTGGTCCCAACAATAACCGAAAACCCGAATGTAGAAATGATACATTTTTATAAAGTCCAACATCTGACAACCAAAAAAAAAAACCACATAAAATGAACGGTCACAAAGCAGAGAGACTACAACGCAACTCGTCGCATACTATGACATGACTCCGACAGTCTCAACCGGTCCGCCTAAGCATCCGTGGAATCACATGCCTCACCTGAGAAAGAGAAATTACATACACAACATTGGGACAAACACAAATAAGATGCAACAAGGATCCCTTGAGCTAATTGCAGTCAAATAAAGCACAATTTATCAATTTAAAACACCAACAAATAAAAAATGGGAAAAATACAGTTTTGACCCCTCATGTTTGCACTGATTTCACATTTGGTCCCTCATGTTTCAAAAATTAAACACTTTTAGTTATTTCTGTTAATATTTCATTAGTACTAATGGAATCAGTTGTGTACCCATCACTGCCTTAACTATCCCACTAACAGTAAATTGACATAAATGACAAACGTGTTAAATTATTAAAACATGAGGGACTAAATGTGAAATCAGTATAAACTTGAGGGATAAAAATTATAATACTCCCAATAAAAAAATCAGCACTTAGGCTCCCACAGTAGGAAACCAAGACTCTAGAATAATTATGAAGTCCGAATTCAATTAGACTCAAACCCTACCATTTCTAACCAATTCCTACATAACCTCTAAATTAACGAAGAACCGTAATTCAGGAAATCTAGCAATTCGAACTAAACACGCAAAATTAATTTATTAACCCCAACTTCGAATTAATTTCAGAGAAGGTACAATTAAGCAATGGGAAAATTACAATTTTCTTTCCTCAAGTTTGCACTGATTTTATCACATTTGGTCCCCCATATTCGCAAAAAATACATTCGCGCGATCCTTCATGTTTCAATAATTTAACACTTTAGGTCCATCAGTTAAGGAGTGACGGGCACATGCTCGATTCCATTAGTAATCACAGACAATTGATGGAAGGACATAAAGTGTTGAATTTTTCAAACATGATGGACTAAATGCATTTTTTTGTGAACATGGAGAATCAAATGTGAAATCGCTGCAAACTTAATAAGTGAAAATTGTATGTTTCCCATTAAGCAATGCACTTAATACACACAAAAAAACAAGAAAAAAAAAAAACATAATCATGCACTTAAGTTCAACCATGTAATTAAATCAGTTAACGCATTGAATCTTACACATAGCTCAAATATAGTATAGTAATTGTCATTGACATAAACATCAATTAATTATCATTTGTTTATCATTATTACATCCGAATTAACAGGAAATCGAAGCTAATTGATACATAAAAATATATCATAATCACATTTATAAGCATAATTTAAGCACATTAACACATAACCCATTGATAATTATGTTCAATTAACATAAATTATAGCACATAAAAGTAAATAAAAATACATAGGCACATAAAATCTCCGAAAAACAAGGGTACCACGTATGACAAAATTATAAAAAGTAAAATTCAAAATTAACTGTGACAAACCTTGTGAAGAATCAAGGACTAACCTTAATATAGTGTTTAATAATTCACCCTTAAATAGGATTAAAATTGAAGGACTAACCTTGTGAAGAATCAATATGGTGAATCATGACTGATGCTCCCATCATCCCATGAAGAATGGACATAAAACTCCACTGAACCTTTATCTTTCTCATATTTGTCGTCCCAATCTTGTTGTAACTTGTTTGCACAATTCACAGCCATAGGGCTGCAGTCGACGACGCTAACGGCTATAAGTGATGCCCCAAACATCAGAGGCATCTCTTTTAACTTGTAGCAATGTAAGATGCGAAGAACACGAATATTAGGGATGCATCGATCATTTTGAAATGTCCATTGCACCAGATCACTGTCTTCAATCTCAAGATACACGAGCCTTTGGAATTCATCGTCACGGACCTCCCACTTTCGGCCTCGAAAGGCATAGAATTTCAAGTAGAGATGTGTAAGATTCGGCAATGAAGAAATCTTGCTCATTTCTTCCCACGGATAACCTAAGCCGCTCAAATATAACTTTGTAAGACTTGACGGCAAGTATGAAAGAGGAGCAAGTGGGGCAACAACCTCAGCCTCGAATGTAGGGTTTTGAATGATACATGCTAGTGATTGTAGTTTATGTAGATGGGAAACATGATCAAAGCAGCTCAAGGGTTGATCACCATTATCATGAGACGAACTAATTACGATAGATAACTCCATTAGATTAGGGATTTTCCCAAAAACATCTTTGGTACAACTTTGATGATGCAGGCCATGAAGTCCTAAAAGGTTTGGTAAGAAAGATCCTTCACGAGGATCTGATAGTTTTTTTCCCCCAACATCAAGTTTCTTCAACTCTTTCATATCCCATATCTCCATTGGCATATTACATGATGATTTGTTTTCAACAATCAGTTTTTGACCGATGATCAACCACTGAAGGTTCCAGAGTTTGGATATGGACGAAGGGATGTTTCCATTAAAAGTGAGGGAAAGGTATCTTAGTTGAACTAATTTTAATACTTCCATTGGGAATTCGTAGAATCTGATTGTAACAGCGTGCACTACTCTGAGCAACCTTAATTTTTCCAAACACAATGGTACTGGATATTCATGAAAATTACCAGTACAGAGGAGAGAGCGTACCATTGAAGCTGAGGTAATTGAGTCTTGCACATCTTGTATGGCAAGTAGAACGTTATTTTGCATGCACAGTCGGCGCTGGTAGATTAGATCTTCTTCTGGTAAAGCACCAGCAGAACAATTGAAGGCATAGAAAAACTTGTTCTTGACAGCTTCTTTGTTACACATGTACCAAAAGGATGAATGAAGGGAATAACATGATTTTTCTCCGTCATGTATAATAAGATTTTTTAGAGAAAGCTCAAGAATATAATAACTACAAGGGTCTAAATCAAACATCTCGACCATTTTTAACTGAGAAACTTTTTCACGAAATTGTTCAGCAGAGTAGACAATTCCTTCTGCATTCCACAAGCTATGTAAGCCGAATAACTCTATAAAAAGTATCTTATAACGTTGAGGATAAATTCCCATGTAGAGAAAGCATGCTTTCAAACGTTGATCTAAATAGTTATAGCTTGGAAGTAATACCTTTGACATTTGATCATATGCATCGTAGTAAATCGAATCTTTTTCATCCGATACCTTGTTCCAGTACTCCGTTGTTTTTTCGGATTTGGATAGGATGTTGGCAACTGTGACGATTGTAAGAGGAAGACCTTCACAATTCTCTGCAATCTTCTTTCCAGCTTTCTCGAGTTCAAAGGAACATGCTTCTTGACCGAATACTTTCTGACGGAGAAGAACCCAACTTTCTTTCTTATCAAGGAGGGGTAAATCATACCGACAATCATGTGCAATATCAGCTGCATCGCCTATCCTGGTTGTCATCAGTACCAAACTTCGATTATCGTCGTCTGGAAATAATTTCTTCAAGGCAGAACAGAGCTTTTCATCCCATATATCATCTAGCACGATGAAGTATCTCTGATGCTTTAAACTGTTGCGCACCATCCTTTTCAACATGGCCAACGTTTCTCCATCGACATCACTTATTTGAAGAGAAGGATTCAATTGTACTAAAATATGCAGCAAGACGTTTTTTAAAAGATACTTCGGGCCTATGGTGACAAACGCACGTCTGGTGTAACAACTCACAATTGATGGATCTTGAAAGAGTTTCGTGGCAAGAGTGGTCTTACCAATGCCCGCCATCCCATCGAGGGAGAAAATCATCCGTGAAGGATCTTCGTAGTTGTTCGTGAATAAATCTCTGAGTTCAATAAAGTGTTCTGAAAATCCAATCATCGGCTCATGATTTCCACCAAAATTAATTCTTGACGTGACAACATCATCATCTTCTTCTTCTTCTTCGGGTGAAGGGTTGCGTAACTCGTGGATGTAGGCCCTCTTCATCTTTTTCACCGTTTTGATAAAGGAATCGACATCTTGCTTTAGTTCTTGCAGGTCTACTGAGAATAACATTGATGGAGGATGAATCTGATCTCCATGATGGCTTTCTTCGGACTGTGAATGAATCTGATCTAATACGTAAGATTCTATTACATCTTCAAATTGGTATACAACATCCATGATTTCTGCCTCCAAAATTTTCACCATCTTCATGTTAATGGTGTTTCTCCTTTCATCGAATTCTTCGAGAGCATCTTGGAAGGAACAAACCTCTTTGTACAAAAGCTTTATTATTTTTGGGGATGAATTTTGAACAATCGAAATATAGGAGGAATTTTTTAGGCGCTCAATTGTTAGCTTAAGAGAACCAACAGCACCATGAGCCATCTCTCTCTCTCTCTCTCTCTCTCTCTCTCTCTCTCTCTCTCTCTCTCTCTCTCTCTCTCTCGCACACACACACACACACACACACAGATTTTTCAGTAAACGGAAACTGCTCTTATATCAGCTAAAGCATTTGTTAAGAAAAAGTGGGTGGGTTTTATGGGTGCAAAACGGACTAGAATTGAAAGAGGAATGAAAGGCTAAGAAAGCATCGATTGATATAACTTGGTTTGATGAAATGAAATGTTACAAATGGATGCACTTTATAGAAATGGAAATTCAGTAATGCATCAACTAATTTTGTTTTTCCTTTTTTTTTTTTTTTTTTTTTTTTTTGAGGAAGCATGTATATTAATTATTAAATGCTCCTCCATAAAACAAGATAAATATTAAATTTGTGAAGGTCAACTTCCCACGTCGGGCCACGAAAGGCGTAGCATCGTAGGTCGGTCCTTATTATTTATTATGTTTTAATACCAATTATTGCCATATTATTAGGATTTTCGAAAATCATGGTTAATTGTTGGGGAAATTGGCTAGACACCCCTAATTTTGGACTTATATAGGTGGAAATCCAAATTGTTAGATGAATATAGGTGTAGGTCCTTTGGCCAATATAATTAATATTAATTAAATTAAAATATTATTATATAGACACAAATACCCTTAATTAATATTTATATGAAATACTATTTTTGAAAATTATGGAGCAAATCCCACATATCACTCTCCTCACTCTCTCCTCTCCCCCCTCTTTCACTCTCCTCTCTCTCATCTCTCACGTCTATTTCTCTCTCTCTCTTTCCGAACTTTTTCATTTTTCTTATTTTTTATTCTATTTTTTAATTTTTTTCTGCATTTTTCTAATTGACTTGGATCAATAAACATTTACATTTCTTATTTTTTATTCTACTTTTTAATATTTTTATGCATTTTTCTAATTGACTTGGATCAATAAACATAAATGTAAAATAACAAAAATAATTTCAAACATATATTTAATGTTACAAAATTATTGTAATATCGTATTCACTCGTTATATTTTTTAGTATGATTTTATTACATACAATTTGTAAACTGCAAACAAAACGAAGTCAAAGTGGGCAACAACAATTTGTAAACTGCAAACAAAACGAAGTAAAACTGCAAACGACGAACACCCAAAACGACCTGGTACCCAAAACGACCTGGTAAAACGACCAAGAACCCAAAAATTGAACAGCAAATTGAACAGCAAATCGAAAACTGCAAACGACCAAATCGAAAACTGCAAACGATCAAGAACCCAAATATCGAAAACTGCAAACTGCAGCAAATCGAAAACTGCAAACGACCAAATCGAAAAATTGAACATCAAATCGAAAACTGCAAACGACCAAATCGAAAACTGCAAACGATCAAGAACCCAAAAATCGAAAACTGCAAACTGCAGCAAATCGAAAACTGCAAACGATCAAGAACCCAAAAATCGAAAACTGCAAACAACCAAAACACCCAAAACTGCAAACGACCAAGAACCCAAAAATTGAACAGCAAATCGAAAACGAAGACAAAATGCAAACGACCTGGTAAAACTGCAAACGACCAAACACCCAAAACCTCTTGAAGGATTCAAAATTCGTGGTGAGATTTTCGATTTGAAGAATAAGGGGAGAAATCGAATTCAAGATTTTTGCAATTGGAATTTCGGATTTGCAGTATAATAGGGGGAGAAATGGGGGATTTGATTTTGAAGATATATTTTACCGTATATTACTAGAGATATTGATAGGGGTACTTTTGACAAATTATAAATACAAAATTTGCTGGAAATTAGAGTTTATTAGATGGATTTTAACACATATAATCTCTTATAGGAGGACCTATAGCAAATTGCCCCTTAATTGTTACGCAAAGCTTGATAATTGTTGCAAGGGTAATAGTTGGAATAAAATCTCAATGGAGTTATCATAAAGGAAAAATCATGAAACGCACGTGTCACTTACCAATTTGTTAAAAAATACTAAACAAATATTAGCCTGTAATGTTAATTTGATGAAGTAAATTATTTATACACATATAAATAAGGGTAAATTACAACCACCCCTGATGTATGTTTAAATTATGAAAAAACCCTCTTGTTTGGATACTTACAACAACCCCATCAACTACGAATCTTCTTACACTTCCATCCTTATGGTGTCAAATTCTACAGAGTAAACTGCAAATACTACCCCTGTGTTATCTCGAAATAGCAAAAACCCCCCTGTGATAAATAAACTAGCAAAAACCCCCCTGTGAAATTTAGTCAAAGGCAGAATCCCCCTAGCTGATTTTTGAGACTTGAAATGACAAAATTGTCCCTCAAAATGTATTTATATATATACATATTATATGTATATTTATTCTTTTTAATTTATTTGTTTAGAAATTAAAAAAAATAGTAAACAACTAAATTGATTATTTTTTAAATAAAATAATTAAAATATTTATAAAATATAAGAATTTATTAATTGCAAGACTCCAGGGGTATTTGTGTCTTTTTATATCAAGTCAACCCTCAAATAGTTCCATAGGGGGATTTTTGCTATTTAAATAATTTCACAGGGGAGGTTTTTGCTAGTTTATTTATCACAGGGGGGTTTTTGCTATTTCGAGATTACACAGGGGTAGTTTTTGCAGTTTACTCAATTCTACATAATCTTCAAATTCCGTGGAATGTTCTCTAGTTTGTATTCGTTTTTGTGCAAAAATTGCAGTTTATGATGCATCATAATCTGATATATACAAAGCCAAAAGGCGTATCTTATGATCATCTTGCTTCAAAATGTGGAGCTCGAATGAGATAAAACGGGTACAAACTTGAGAATATTCCATATAATGTAGAAAGTTTCACTAAATTTGACACCGCAAGGGTGGATGTGTAAAATATTCATAATTGAGGGGTAGTTGTAATTACTCAAACATGAGGGGATTTTTGTAATTTGACCATACCTTAGGGGTGGTCGTAATTTACCCTAATCATGAACTACATTCAACGCACGTGTCACTTACCAGTTTATTACAAATATCAAGAAATTATTGAAATATTTCAAACAAGAGAGATTTCTTGTAATTAAATTAAGTTTTTGGAGATGCTAACCATAATTTATCTTATTTTTTTTTTACCATTATTTGGTTGTTTGGTGTGGAACTTTACATATTGTATTTGTTTGTGGCGGTGACTTGAAAACCATAGCTGGAATAGGTAGTTGTTAAGTAACAAGTTGTACATTTTTTAATTTCCATCCATGTGAGTGCATGTTATCCAAGATGAGACAACTATATCGAATTATATATTTGTGATCTTGACCAAATAATTGTTATTTTATATTTGGGGACGTTGGGATAATTACACTTTTATCCCCTATATTACACACCTTTTTCAATTTAGATCCTTAATTTTTTCTGCCATGAAATTTGTCCTCAAATAACCGGTAATTTTACACTTTCAGTCTGTTGTTAGTGATTGAACACTTTTTACTTCTAGTTACAGGTAATATGTGGAAGAAATTAAGGATTTAGAAAGGGGGCATATGGATTTCAAGAGAGAATTAGGGCAGATTGTGTTTACATGTAATGTGCCATCTCAACGTTATGAGGGGGAGAGGTGCTTTTGTATGTCATGTGCGGTGCACGTGCGATTTTCCGTCCATACTAATTGGACAAATAAACGGATGGACAGAAACAACATAAAAGTGACATGTTTAGGGACGAAAATTGTAACTTCATCTTGTTTAGGGACGAAAATCGTGTAAGTGGCAATGTATAGGGACGAAAAGTGTAATTATCCCTACAGGATTAAGTGATACATTGTAGGTCCCGACTGGTTGAAAAATCTGCTGATTGTTTCATCTTGTTTGCTCAAAATTCTCTCGGGTAATGTTTCAGAACGAAGTGAGCTGAGTAACGACTTTTGTTTCTCTGGTACGAACGGAATTATCTTTTTGCCAAAATAATTTGAAGTCGGAGCATTTATTTCTTCTCGATTTTGAATTTTGACACAGATCTCGAATCAGCTTGTGGTTTTTGAAAGGACAAATTGCATTCACACCCCGAAACAATTTCAACTTTTGCACTAAACCCCCTTTAGAGTCTAGACATTAAAAATGGGCCATTTGAAATACATTCCAAACTATGATGCATGGAAACTTCTATACGCACCTATTTCCACATTTGGGAAATTTTTTGAAAACCGAAACGCCCTTGACACTTGTCGGAAACGTTTGGGGGCCGTTTTGGTAAATATTTAGAAGTTTCGGGATGTTTTTGATAATAATGAAAAAATGGAAATGCGTTTCCGCCAAAAAAAATAAAAATCATAAGCCTGTTTTAAATAAATACAAGTAATTGACTACACTTAAGAAGATCTTAAATCTTATGTATCATTTTCGTTTCTAGTGGTGTTTTAATATTTTTTTTGTAGATGCTAATTTCATATTAAAATAAATTTATATGCCCCGAATCTAATTTGTAGAATGATAATTCGGATTGTAACATGTAAATTATATTTAATTTGTATATATAAATATGTAATTGATGATAAGTATTAAGTTAGACGTCATAATATTTTTTACAAATTACAGATGTACTCCTATATTTTTAATATATACACGTTGCCCTCACGTTTTCTTTCAAACATTTTGAACAATGGGGTTTCACGGTTTCAGTTTCCCCATTTCACCGTGTCCGCTTTCTCGTGTCCGTGCTACATAGATTTCAAACATTATTTAATAGAGCTAAACCCAACTTTATTTCATCCTTATAGATACCCTTCAATTTTATTATTCGAAACTACTTCACATAAATTTTCTCCTAACTGCATTCATAATTTTTAATCATTTTCGGATTTTCTTTTATCATTATTTGCTAATTTTTGGTTTTTTTTTATTATTTTTCTTTTTAAGTAAATTTTTTTTGTCTGTTTCGTTATTTATTTTCTTCTTTAACTAACATTACATAAAAATATATTTAGGACATATTGCACTTCATCCCCTTGAAATTTTAACAATTCGCACTTTCGCCCCTAGAAATTCAAAAAATAGACGCCGTCCTTGCAAAATATATTTATGTTGCACTTTGCCTCAAAGTCAAACTTCCGGCGTGTTTTCTACCGGAATTTTTTTAAAGTTATTTGAACACATATTTTGAATGCAATTTCCCCCAGCAAGTAGACCAAACAAGAAAATAAAAACACATATTTTATTGTGATTTCTTAAAAAAGAAAACTCAATATACATGATACTATTCACACTGGTAGATTTAATTTTTTGACGCGAAACGAAATACAATAGAAAAATAAGAAATAAAAAAACTATGTACAATAGATGATTGAAAATAAATTGATAAAAGTGATGATCGAAAATATCAAATATAAAACTGACCCAAAAAAAAAACGAGTAGTAATAATACGTTGTACAACCAGGCTGCTAGAAGTCCTAGAACATCATAGCTTGAAAATTATTTCTTGTGAAGTTGATGTGATCATCTGCTGATTGTTTCATCTTTTCCTGAAAACTCTCGAATTTTTCCTTACTATCGAACACAACTCGAACTTGAAGTTCTTCGTTACCGTTATTCTCTTGTTCCTCTGCTATTCTCATAGCAGAAATGGCGGCAGACTCACTGCACTCAAGCAATTGAAGAAATCCAAGTGTTGGTATTTCTCCAATATCTAGAGGGACTTCCTCCAATTTGTACATTTGTGTGAGGAAAAGTTTCTCCAGAACCGGAAAATGTGAGCTGTCTGCATTCCATTGAACCAAATCGATGTAACTTATAAACAGATATTTCAGGCGAAGGAATTCCCCCTCAACAGGATTCCACACAGGTTCTACGGCCGAAACATCATCGAGGTTCAAAACTTCAAGATTTGGTAAAGAACCAATTATTGTTAAATCTTTCCAATGAACCTTGGTACCTACTAAATACAACTTCTTGAGCGAACTTGGGAATGTGAGCTTCTGCAACAAGTTATGTACACTATACGGCAAGCACGTAAGTGATTCAAGTTTATGCAAGTGGCAAATATTGTAGAGCAAATAATCTTTTGAGTTTTTCGAGTGACTATCATACTCTATCTGCAATTTCCTGACGTTGACGACTCTCTTACAAGCCTCCTCGCTCCACACAAAGTTTACTACATTCTTAAGTGTTTGCAGATTTTGCAGAACAAACTCATGTTGTTGTTGGTCACCACTCTGAGGAGGATCGGGAAGGTGTAGCTCATATATATCCACATGCCTAAGTTGTCGCATCTCCCATATTTCAGATGGTGCTTTAATCTTATTCTTTCTAATGATTATTGTTTGCAAATTCCAAAGAACGTTTATTGACGAAGGAAGCTTGACAACAAGGAATCGTGTGCGCTTGTTATAAGCAAGATAACGCATGTTAACTTGATCAACAATATGCCGGCGTAAATATTTTTTCTTGGCTCCACAGTTGAACGACATTACTCTCATCAATCTATTGTTGGAAAATCGGCCATCCATGTGGGTTACCAAAGTTCTAGTAAGTGATGGTAATTGCAAAGTATGAAGGACTTGAGATCGATACTTTGCTTGTAGATTTTTTTCATTACATACAATACGACGCCCCCTTTCTACTCCTTGTTGAATGTCTTCCATCACACAGATAAACTCGTCTTTCTGAGCTACCTTTAGACTTAAGTCTCGCAAAAGATCATGAATCCTACAAAATTTAATTCTTCCATTGGATCCCAATTGCTTCAAAATGAGATTCCTGTCAATGAGATTATTTAAGTAACCTCGTGCAATCTCTTCCAAGCTTTGGGATTCGTTCGATTTAATAAATCCTTCAGCTACCCAAAGTTTGATCAGTTGGGAGACACGAATCTCATCATCTTCTGGAAAAATTCCCATGTAGAGAAAACACGGTTTAAGATGAGCAGGCAAGTATGTGTAACTCAAAGATAATATACTCGAGCAATTCCCGTCCTCTCTGGAGTTCAAAATTGAGATTAAGTCTTTTGAAATATTTTTCCAGTATTTTTGCGTCATATGGGACCTTCCAAGAAGCCCACCAATCACACAAATCGCAAGGGGAAGTCCTTTGCATTTTTGAACAATCTCCTTTCCAATATCCACTAGCTTAGAAGGGCAATCGGCATGGCCAAATGCCTTCTTGCATAATAGTTTCCAACTTTGATCCTCATCTAGAAAACTCAACTCAAACAACGAAGAGTCGAAATGAGTAGCCACATTCGATATCCTCGTAGTCACAACAATTCGACTTCCATTATTGTTGTCTGGAAAGAAACCACTTACCTTGTCCCAAGCTTCAATACTCCAAATATCATCAATTACAATCAAATATCTCCGACCCCATAGCATTTTGTGTAACTCTTGCCCTAATAAATGCTCATCAGTTTCACAACTTTGCCTTGAGAGAAGTTGTAAAAGAAGTTGTTTGACATTATACTTTTGAGATACTGTGACCCAGGTACGAATATCAAAATGGTGGAGAATAAGTGAATGCTCATAAGCATTTTGGGCGAGAGTAGTCTTACCAATGCCGCCCATGCCTACGATTGGAATGATTTGACGGTTAGATCGTTGCCCCGTGAGCTTGTCCAAAAGTCGAGTCAACTGTTCGTCAAATCCGACCATGGTATTCTTGTCGGTGGTAATAAGAGTTGTACTTGATGAAGCAGTGGTAGTAGCTGTAGGCATCGGGTATGTGGGCTGCATATCATCTCTGGATCCACTTTCATCTTTAAACGCCATAACCTTTTTCGTGACGGAATCCATGTCTTCTATTACCGTTTGAAGATCGACCACGGAAATCGAGCCACCGTGAATTTGGTCTTCTACTAGATCAGATTCAGTAGTTACAGCTTTGTTGAAGCAACAGACTAGTCGAATCGAATTCATGATAAACTTTCTTTTGGCAGCTTTCATTGCGTGAATTTGGTCAACTGCGTGAGATTCGATTAAATCTTCAGCCGCATAGGCTACAGCTGCAATTTGGCTCTCCAAAACTTCAACTTGTGTGCTTATAGCACCATGAGTATCATTCTCTACAAAATCTAGCAACAAACCAACTTTTTCAATGATAGATTCCATCTGGTTCGTGTCGAAAGAAATCGAAAGGCGAGGATGTTTTTGGATGTGATCCATAGTAGTTATGAGAGAAACTAGAGCTGCATAAGCTGCCATCTCTCTAAGTTTTCGGGTAATGTTTGAGAACGAAGTGAACTCCGGCGATTGCCAAATCTCTACCTCACTAACAATGACTTTTGTTTCTTGGATGAAGAGTTAAAGCCATGAGATAAGTGGGTCCCGCATGAGCAAAGTCAATTCAATTATTATAAGTTGCGGCTAAGAATAATACCAATTTTTTCTCACTTCAATACCACTAATTTTAATACCATATTTTATAGAAGTTTTTACAATTTTTTTCTCACTTTAATTCAATTAATATAAGGGACTATTAAAAATAATATTAATTTTTTCTCACTTCAATATCATTAACTCTAATACCATATTTCATATAAGTTTTTACAATTTTTCTTAGTTTAATACCATAAATAATTTTTTTATTATCAAACTACTAAAATACCCCTCATCAAACAAAATACAATTTATACAAACAATTTTTTTTTCCTCACTTCAATACCAAAGAATATAACAAGAGAAAAAAAATGCTTTATTCTTCTCTCCCAAACTCAAACTCATTAAACCCTCTCTTCTTCTTCGTCTTCTTACAGACCCTCCAAAAAATTTCAAAATTCAAAAAAATCAAAACCTCACAAAACGTATAAATTGGAGTCACAGGACAATAAAATGGTAGTTTACATGGTAGGAGAACCCATTAAAGTATGTATCCATGTTTTTTTTTAGCTTGGAAGTCGATATTGAAGCTTTTTTTTTTAGAACCCGTTGACTGTTTTGGACACATACAAGTCTTTTTGTCAATTTTCGACACCAACATGTCGAAAAACCATTGTTGCTTTAAATTTTTTTTTTAAAGCAACAATGGTTTTTCGACACCAACATGTCGAAAAACCATTGTTGCTCTAAATTTTTTTTCAAAGCAACAATGGTTTTTCGACACATACATGTCAAAATTTGGAGAAATTTCGACACATATATGTCGAAATTCGTTTTTTTTTTTTCTTTTTTAAATATATTTTTCGACAAGTTGGTGTCGAAAATTGACAAAAAAATCGACTTGTATGTGTCGAAAATTGTATGCGGGTTTCAAAAAAAAAAAAAAAAAACCTTCAAAATCGACTTCGAAACTCAAAAAAAACATGGATACATACCTTAATGAGTTCTCCTTGACTACCATTTTGTTGTCATTTGACTCCATTTAGTAAGTTGTGTGAGATTTTGAGTTCTTTAGTTTTGAGATTTTTTAGGAGGGTTTGTTGTGAGAAAGGAGAAGGAGGAGGTTGAGGGGTTTGTGAAGGAGATGGGTTTGAGGGGTTTTGTGTGTTTGATATTAAAGAAAGAAAAATGAGAATTTTTATGTTTTTGTGGTATTGATTTTCATTAAGGTTATTTATACCGTTACCTATTTATTATTTAATTTTTATTTTGGTGGTATTGAAGTAAGAAAAATTTGATATTATTTTTAGTTGGCCCTATTATAATTCAAAAGATTCTTAATTACGTATACGTCCATATTTAATTGTTTCTACGAAAGATTTATAGCATGTTTGGCTAAGCTTATAAGCTCCTAAAAACATCATATAAGATGTTTAAGAGATTATAAGCTGTTAAAAAGTGTTTGGTAAAAAATTAGAAAATATCTTATTTTTTTCCAAAAATAAGCTGTTAGGGAGCTTATAAGATGTTTAAAAAAAAATACCACCATCCCCTTTTTTTCTTTAAGATCTTATTTGCTTCTTTCTAAACACTCAAAATACAAAATTGCCCTCAAAACTTTACTATATTACATGAATACTAATAACATTTATATTTTATTAAAACAACGTATTCTTGTAATCATGATTAATAATTAGTTAAATTATAATTATCATAATTATCATAATAATTGTAAAAAAATTATTCTTTATCTATATTTTATATGTATATAAAAATACCCGAATATTCTTATTATCTCAATAATAAATTATATTTCTTTTATCTATAGAGAAAAATATATTTCTTTTACAACCTTTATTTATATTTATATATCAATGGGACAAAAAATTAAAACTTTCACAAATCTATTTCATTAAAATATTTTATTACATTTCATTTTATTTTAAAAAATTGTCAAATGTCATATCAACATACATAAAAAAATTATTTAGTTTATTTAATATATAATTTATATTATTGTTTTTATTTGAAAAATTAATTTGTAAATACTATAAATAGTATTTTAGGAACAAAAGTATTTGAGTCGAATTAGTTTGACAGTTATAATGGCGTCATGTACTTTTTTTGTCATTATAGCGATAAACAGACCTTTTATTTCCAAACACCTGAACAACTTATAAAAACTAAAAGTAACTTATAAGTTACATATCCAAACAACTTAAAAAATAATTTTTAAAATAAGATCTTACAGCTTATCAGCTTCTAAAACATCTTATCAGATGTATAAGCTTATAAGATGATTTAAATAAGCTTAGCCAAACGGGCTCTTAAGCTAATTAAAATAAATTTTGTTTTTGGGTTGTCTATGGCCTGTTTTACCTATTAACCAACCCATTTTCGAAGAGTTATTAGCACAAATTGTAATCTCTAATTGTCGAAAAAACCCTTATGTTAAAAAAATTTAGCAATAACCCCTTATATTACGTTTTAAAAAATATTTCAATTTAAATAAACAAAATTAATTTTTTTTTATTAAATATAAAAGAAAATTAAGAAACTTTTATTTTGGGTCTTACAAAAATTATTGGATGAATTATAATTTTCTAAATTTATGTTTTAAATGGTATTTTGGTCTTTCCAGGTCAAGAAACATACCACAAGTCGCGAAATCCGCATGTGCAACACACATTCAGCTCGTCGGCGCCTTATTGGCTTTATGGGGGGTTTTTGTTAATATTTTTAACATGAGGGTTTTTTTAGCAATTAGAGATTACACAGATGATTCTTGCAAAACCCCACTACTTTTCGACTGCATTTTTTTTTTTTGGATAATCAACCATCAACTCCATTCAAGTTGGATCAATAATATGCTAAAATATGATCGGTCGAATAATATCGGTCAACTAACTTTATTTATTATTTATTTGTATTATTAAATTCTCTAATATTAAATGAACTCAAAATACATAAACCTAATTATCTAATTTGTGGACTTAATAATTTGTTGGTAATCAAATATGCAGGTGTTTTAGTTTTGGGCTTGTGAGATGCAAAAAGAGGCTTGGAGTACATTTTCGACATTTAAGGTATAATTTTTTTTTTTTTCCTTTTCTTTGAATTCTTTTAGACCATGTTTTGAGCATACAATGCTCATTACATCTTCCTATTGTAAATCAATAATTTGATTATTGTGTTCCAGCATTAATAATAAGGCCTGACAATTAAAACTAATTCCCAAATCATAGAAAACAACCGTTTATTCAATTTTACAAAAACAAATAAAATAAATGGATCAATTTAACTTAAACTCATGAAACTAGCTTCTTATCATCCCATGAAGAATGGACATCGAGATCTAACGGTTTTGTATCATAATATCGTTTGTCCCAATATTTTTTCGACATCTTTGCACAAGCCACAACTTTAGGATTGCAGTCAACAAATTCAATCTTCGAAAGAAATCTACCAAAGCTCAGAGGAATCTCTTCCAACTTGTAGCAATTTTTCATGCTAATCGACTCGAGCACATAGAGGCATGGATTATCTCGAAATGTCCAGTGCACCAAATCAGTGTCTTCAATCAGAAGAAATTTAAGCCTTCGAAAACCATTCCCACGAACTTCCCACTTCGGGCCTCGAAAGGCATAACACCGCAGTTTGAGCACTCTAAGATTTGGCAACAACGAAATATTGCGCATTTCTTCCCATGGATATCCTAAGCCGCTCAAATTTAACTTTTGAAGACTTGATGAGAATATCGAAAGAGGAGCTGGTGGGGCAACAATGTCAGGCTTGAATATAGGATTCAAAACGACGCATTTGAGTGATCGTAGTTCATCGAGGTGTGAAATATGATCGAAGCAGCTTAAGGCTGGTTCAACATCATCAACAGACAACTCGATTCGAATTCCTAACTTATCTAGATTAGGAATTCTATCAAGAACATCTTTGGTGCAACTTTGAGGACTCACATCTAAAAGTGTTAAGAGATTTGGTAATAAAGATCCTTCGGTAGGAGGAAATAGAGTGATTCCCATTACCTGGAGATGCTTCAATTCTTGCATATTCCATATCTCTATCGGCATATATTGCAATGGAGCACCATGGGAAATGATGCTCCAATGCCGATTGATAATCAACCACTTAAGGTTCCAAAGTCGAGATATTGAAGGAGGGACCTTTCCATTGAATGTAACGGCAAGGTATGCTAATTGGACTAAATTAAGTAGTTCCACTGGGAACTCGTAGAACCGGATTGAAAGAGCATCAAGTACCCTAAGCAACCTCAAACCCGAACATAGTGGTACTGGATATTGATGATATTGACCAGTGCATAGAAGAGAACGTACCGTTGAAATGGACTCCATTGAATCGTACGCATCTTTGATAGCAAATAAAACATTATTTCGAATGCACAACCTGCGTTGATTCTTCATATTGCCTTCCGCTAAACTGTCCTCAAGACTTTTTACGCCATAGAAGAACTTGTTTTTTCGAGCTTCTTTGTTACACATGTACCAAAATGGAGAATGAAGGCTACAAGTTTTCATTATACGATTATAACTCTCCTTGTGGCTCATGATAACATTTTTTGAGGTAAGTTCAAGGAATGTCGTGTAATGTTCCGAAAACACGTACGATTTTTCGTCGACAAATTCTGATTTTGCATCAGGAAATCCTTCAGCACTCCACAAATTGGTGAGTGTGGAGCTGCGGATCTCACAATTTTGAGGGAAAACTCCCACATACAGAAAGCTCGCTTTTAAATGTTGAGGTAAGTAGTTGTAGCTTGGATATAGTACCTCAAACATTTGATCATACGCTTCTGTGAAAACCGAAGTCTGTTTCTCAGCTACTTTGTTCCAGTACTCCGTTGTTCTCTCTGCTTTCGACAAAATACCCGCAACTGTGACGATTGTTAGAGGAAGACCTTCACAATTCTCTGCAATCTTCTTTCCAGGTTTCTCAAGCTCATGAGGGCAAGTCATTTCGCCAAACACCTTGTGGCGAAGAAGATCCCAACTTTCTTTTTTATCTAGGAACCGTATTTCGCACCAATTGCTCGAAGCTATATCTAGTAGCCTAGTCGTGAGCAAGACCCGACTTCCATTATTATCGTCCGGAAATACGCTTAACAAATCATCCCAAATCTCTGGGTGCCACACATCATCCAGCATGATCAAGTATCTTCGTTCCTTTAAACTCGTGTAAGTCATCATTTCCAAGCCATCAAGTATGTCGTGTCCTTCCACATCCATTTTCTCATCGGCCTCATCATGCACTTGCTCCAGAATATCTACCAAGACGCCTTCCAATACGTATTCTGGGCCAACTGTCACAAACGCGCATCTTTCGAAATGACTCGAAATCGACGAATCTTGGTATAGTTTATTGGCAAGGGCTGTCTTACCAATGCCTGCCATCCCCACTAGCGAGAGACTCACTCGTTCAGATTCTGCTGACGTGTCCATAAGCCTTTCCTTGATTTCCACAAATAGATCGGATAATCCAACCATCATTGTCTCATTTTCAACAAATTCGGTTCGTGAATCGAAAAAGTCATCACTACCATCAGCATCACCATCAACATCTTCATCCTCGTCTTCTTCTTCTACTACAGGTAAGAGGTCGTGTAACTCACTGGTGTACGCCTTCATCATCTCGTTTACAGTGTGGATAAAGAAATCAATATCCTCCTTTAGATCCTTCAAGTCTACGGAGATTAACATTAGTTGATGAATCTTATCTGCGTCGATTCCTTCAGATTGTGAAATAAATTGATCCGAGACATGGCTATCAAGAGCGTCCTCGAATCGATATACTGCTTCTCTGATTAGTCCATCCAAAGCATCCACCCTCGCCCTGTCGATAATGTTGTTGTTGCTATCCAATTCTTCAAGAACTACTAGTAAAGAAAGAACCTCTTTGTAGAGGAGTTTTATGTTTCGACGAGAGTATTTTGTGACAATGGAAATATGAGAAGAACTTGAAAGGCGCTCAATTGTGTTTTTAAGAGAAATCGCAGCAGCATAAGCCATCTCTCTCTCTCTCTCTCTCTCTCTCTCTCTCTCTCTTCTTTTAACCTGTTTTTTTGTTTCTGTGATCAATAACTTAAGCTTTAAAGATTGCATAAGTTTGTTGAAGAAACGTCACTATATATTTAATATTATATTTCATTTAATATGCGGTAGAAATAATTAAATTCAAATGTGACTGCATGGAATACACAAAGTCGGATATCATTTACCTAACCACAATTATAAATATTTGATCAAATTTCTACCTAACGGTTGAAGTAAGCATTTTTATTAGTGTACGTTCAATGATTGACACAGGCGCACAAAATTTCAACAAAGTTATGGGACTACTAGTGTAACTTAAAATAAAGGGCAAATTATGAAAAAAAAAAACCTCGAGGTAAATTAAACTTATAAAAAATCCCCTCATGTTTGTGTAATTGCGAAAATTTCCCTCTAACTAGCGTGTTCGACCGTTTAAATTCATAGAAAATATAATTTTGTCCGTTTTATCCTTTAGTTATTTGAAAACCAATAAATGGTAACTTACGAAAAACCCCCTGAGATAAGGTCTAATTACGAAAATCCACAACACATTTTTTTGATTACAAAAATCCCCCGAGATATGTTGCCATCTTATATAGCCCCTCCTACAATATTACTTTTGAATAAAATAATATATTGACAATTACCTCTAATATATATATTTATATATATAAGAATGAAACATTGGGGCAACCTAAGAAACCCTAATAAAATATTTGTAATTTTTTTAAATTAATTATTATTATTATTATTATTATTATTATTATTATTATTATTATTATTATTATTATTATTATTATTATTATTATTATTATTATTATTATTATTATTATTATTATTATTATTATTATTATTATTATTATTATTATTATTACTTCTTTTTCCTTTTTCATTTTCCTGTTCTTTTTTACTTTCATAGCACATCAGATTTGTAAATCGGCTAGCAAAATTCTAATCCCTCAGATAGTACTTTTTATATTTTATTTTAGTAATCTCTTTGGAAATCTCTCTTTTTTACACACACTGATGTGGAATTTTTTTATTTCAATTATCCGAAGAGTAAAGCAAAATCTCTCGACACACACCAAAGTGAATTCTTTTTTAATTGTTTTGCCCTGCCTTATTTTTTTTTGATGTTATTTTGGTAATTTAAATTGCACAACTAATTATTTTAATATTGTGTAATATATTTTTTTATACAATTTAATTATCATATATTTATTTTTTCTTCCTTTTTGCAATGCTACCCCGTGCACGGGAAGAATTGCTAGTCTCTCTTAAAGAAAAAAGTAAAAGCGATGACTTCTCTGATCACATTGGGTTGCAACCCTTTCTTTTATGATATATTTATATTTCATATATAATTTTTGCATTTCAATTGTTTAAAACTGAAATATCATTAAATAGTATAAAAATATTTGTAACCTAAAATAAGAAATAAGAGAATATTTTTCCAAAATATGTAAGATCAATTTTATTGAATAAAAAATTATAAGAATATAAAAAAAAAAAAAAAATCAAATAAAAAACGGTTAATGTTAAAAGATATGTTTAATTATTATATATATATATTTTCTATGTTTAATAGTTATATTATGAGGAGATACTTTATAGTTTACAATGAAAAATAATTACCAATTTTTAAATGGGGCAATTTGCAAAACACTCCTCCATCATAATACTCTTTCAAATCAGGATAAGCGGACTTTTGCAATTCGTTAAAAGTCCTTTGTTCACCAAACGCGCCTTCATTCATCCCGTTAGATCTGACTGCCTCCATCAGATTTCGTCCAACCTTGTTGCATTCCGTCAAATCTACCCCGCCTCCGCTCTTCATCATTGCCATCGCCGAAATTTTGTCACACATGCATACACACATAATCACTCACCTACATACAAAAATACACAACCACACACACGCACCACATACAATTTTGGTTACACACATTCATCTCCGATCCGCTGTAAACTAATAATCATGGAAACCGAAAAGAAAAAAATGAAGAATTGTTTGGTGATGGTGAGGTGATGGTAATATTGACGATGATGTACGCACCAGAGATTTAAGTTTTTTTCTTCAGCTTACTTTAACTAAGTTGTGCAAGTAAGTTGTCTAAACTGTGTAACTAAACTGTCTAAGTTGTTTAACTAAGTTGTCTAAGCCGTGTTACTAAGCTGTCTAAACTGTCCAACTTCATAGTAAAATTGCATAAAAAAATGTAATTTTTTAAAACTTTTGTTCGTTAATATAACTAAGCTCTGTAAATAAGTTTTCTAAGTTGTGTGTGTGAGTTATGTCTCTGTTGTGGGATGCATCTATTTTTGTTTTAGTTTTTTCTTCAGTTTATTTTAACTAAGGTGTTGCTTATTAATATAAGTAAGTTGTTGCTTATTAATATAATTCAGCTCTGCAAATCACCGCGTCACCGTTACTGTTAGCAAATTCCATTAAAGAGATATCAGACCTAGTGGCAGATGCAGAACGGAGAGCGCACAAGGACCTTTAGCAAAATGACAAAATCAGCATGTCCTTATAGTTATAGAGAATATTTTTTAGGGTCTCCAACTAATTTTCGTTTTTTAAATATATTACAATTTACCATGAATGAAATAATTACGGTTTTTAAAACAAACGTGACATAATTGATTAAAAAAAAAGAAAAAATAATGTGCCATGATCTATACAAATAAGCAATATTAGATTGGAGTAATTTTCAACTTGGTACATTGCATCCACATGAATGAAATATTAAATCATACTAGTATTACAACTTACAGCTATGAATTTTGAAGTCCACGAAATACGTTGACATCAAGACAAGTAAAATAAACAAACTATTGATTTTCTTAATGTGGTGGGAATCTTCTGCATATAATATTATTTTCTCTTACAATTTTCAACAAATAAAAGAACACATTTAGTTATTGTATTCAATTCCACAGCAAAGTATATGATGTGCATATATATATATATATATATATATATATATATATATATATATATATATATATATATATATATATATATATATATATATATTTCTTACTTTAAAGGCTCAATCACATCGGTTGTTAAACCAATACTATTAAGAAAAAGAACCTTAACAATAATTGAACAATCATTTCTAAGAAATCATGTATTTTTTCCTTTTTATTTGTATCAATTTAACCCATTTTTATTGAAATAATACGTAACTAATGTTTGTGCAGGTGAAAGAATAGTGGATTGTCGTTCCAAATTTAAGAACAGGACTTCGATTGTTCTCAATGGCCGACCATGCTAAATAAATCAAGTTGATTGCAGAAGAATAAAAAAATAGGAATTTTGTGATTAAATTTTTTGAATATTAATTTTGGCCGTCCAAGTTTTTAATTTTTATAATATGTA